GCGTGCGCGAAGGTGTCGGGGAAAAAGGTGAGATGGAAGGAGGGAGTAAAGTTCGGCTACCTCGGTCGTTCCTCGACCATTTTGAGTGAACTAATATTTCAAACTGGGATTCTGGGCTATAGCGAGCCCGAATATGAAATCGGATCGATACTAAGGTTAGTAGGATTAGAGTTAGTGGAGGATGAGACTGCGTGGAAGTGCGGACTCGACATGGCAGGAGTAAGGAAACAGACATCTGAGTCGATCCTCGATAGAATTGAGTATGGGAAAAAACCAGTTCGAGGTTTCAGGCCATTGCAAATCCGATGATGGTATCGGATTCCACGAAAAAAAAAAAAAAAAAAGAGCAGACTCGACAAGGCAGTATGCAGGGGCTGTATCGAAGAAAATAGTAATAATAAATAATAAAATAAAGTGAGGATGTATCTTTCCGGGTTCTAGCGGAAGATTCATCCTCATTATCTACGAGTTGGTAATTGCGACATTGTCGTGACTTGTCACAGTAATTGTCATGACCACATGGACTGTCATCCGCCCGGTTGGGTTGCAAGGTCGGGTTCGGCATCGCTATCTTCATGGCTGTACGTTGAAAGGACAGCGCTATTGATATGGGCGATCCATGAGCTAGCGGGTGCAGGGGCGGGACCACGGACGGAAAGAAAAGCGTCACAGAGAGAGCCCCGACTACTGTGATCCTGATCCGACTATCGTGGTTCTATCGTGTCTTAGATTCCACATGGACATAGCCTCGGCCGTATGAGCCTGGCCAATGAGTTGACCTGCTGCATTAGGAAGAGAGAGAGAATGAGAGGGTACTTACCTAGTTAGGAGAAGGCACGCGGTTCGGTTCGTCGATGTTTGTCTGCAGACGGTGACAGAGTGACTCCCCGTTCCAGCGGATGGTGGGAGCCAACGGTCGGGAAGTACAACTCACCGTTTCCGAACAGAGTCAGAAACGGTTGCAGCAGGCAGCAGCCGGCGGGCTATGTGTATCTGGCCATGTTCAGCTTTGGACTCAACTTCGTCCTTCTCTTCAGCTCTTGCAGTTGAAGCGGAAGGATACCTGTAGCGGACCCACCAGGTGTGGTGCTCTGCTAGTGGTAGATGTGGAGATGGAGGAAGAAGGGGGGAGCGAGATGGCACAACGTAGCTCCCCACGCAAGACTCCAACGCACGTACTCCAAAATGTGCAAGTGAAGAATGAGCTCGAAAACAAACAAAGGCTGGGTTATACCCCAGCGGACTGACGGGACTGGACTGGAGTGGCTGGTACCGACAGAGGTACCGGCCTGGACTGGACTGCCCCGAATAAAACACAGGTCTGTGAGAACAGGCCAAGGGGCTGGTCTCACAGGCCCACCGGAGGTCCGCTACACGATCCTCGACCTGTGATGGATCGCCTAGATACAAGCATGCTTCCGCCAAAAAGCGGAACTCTACCAAAGAAAAGAAACCTGAGTAGTCTAGGATGCGAAGCAAGCTCCATGCTGAGTCTATGCGATACAACCTAGGATATAAAATGTCACAAAACAACAATGTCACAACTAACAACCTAAGTAAAAGCAAAAACAACTAACTAGCATACATGTCCTAGGAAAGCAAAAGCAACTAACTAGCATACATGTCCTAGGAAAGCAGAAAGTAGTGACAACTAGATCCTAGAATGTTGGAGGCAGTAGCCTCATTCTGGGAACAACTGACTAGTGTATAAGTCCTAAGAACAACAAAAGCATAACAACTAAATCCTAGAAATGTCAGAGGCAGTAGCCTCAGTCTGAGAGCAACAAAGCAACAACAAGTCAATCATATGTCACATGAGAAGTGTGTCGCAAACCAAAGGGTGGGATGGTCTCTGAGGGTGGCAAATGCAGCTTAGGGGTCGAAAACTCCTAAGGGCATCCACACATAGATAACAGGGAGACACATGTCATCAGGCTCAATAAGGGTAGGGAACTGAGAGCGAACAGAACCAATGACCCTAACAGATAAACCATCGGGGCAAGTAATGTTCGACTAAGGGGTGACCGCTATGGAGGGTCGACCATGGGAATAAGGGAGCCAGGTATACTGGGCGCACCTAGATGAAGCATGCGGGGCTGCCTAACTAGGGCGTGAGGGTCGGCGAAGGGTAGAAAAATGATGGGTAAGGGAATCATGCAAATGACTCCTAAAGTGAGGGAAGTCGGAGTTAGATCCGTAAGATGGGAAGCCAGGGCAACGCTACGGTCCCGATGCCTATGCGTATACCAAGGGAGAGCCCAAGTGAGAGGAACCCGGCTACAGGGAGACCATCATGCGACACAGCAGGGTACTGTACAGGGTAGAGTGGTAAGAGAGTGGCGACGTCTGAAGTAGGCAGAGCTGATCGTGATGAAGTCCATGAAGCTGCCGATGACGTCCACGATGAGAAGTCCGGAATGCCGTCGAGGAAGAGCCGCAGCGTCGACGAGCTGAAGTAGCAAAACTGATGTGGATGGAGTACTGAGAAGTCAAAGACGGGGGAAGGTAAGTCAGAGTCAATCGTCGTATCGAGCAGGACGACGACGAGTGCGCTGTGGACGCTCAGAAGCATCCGGCTGCTGCTGAAGGTCTGCCGCAGATGGAGCAGGCTCGACTTCAGCGGTCTCCTCATCCGGAGGAGAAGGAGGAGGGTCAGTGGGCTGAGGAGGAGCAGTGAACCCAGCACGACGAGCACGGTCATAGGCACGCACCAACATGCGAGCGTGCTGCAAGTGCTCGAGGGGCTCCCAGGTAGCCTCCTCATCAGGGTAACCCTTCCAACGTACGAGATACTCGACGTGGGGAGGGTTGTCGTCGGTGACTCGGCGACCAATGATGTCTGAAACGAGGAACTCCTCGTGATCGTCCACCATGATGGGTGGAGGGCGCTCGTATGATCACCCAGCGAAACGCTCAGACGGTCTGCGGTAAGGACGCAGTAACGAGATGTGGTAGACATCGTGCACACGAGCCTTGCGTAGGTAGTCGGGCAGCTTCACACGGAAGCTGACCGGGCTAGATGCCGTATCAGAAGCGACGGCCTGGAGGATGCGGCATGGGCCAAAGAAGAGACGCCGAAACTTGCGAAGCGTGTCCGCTTCGAGCTGTGAGTGGCGGGCGTCGATAATCACATCATCACCGACTTTGAATGGATGATCCATCTTCGATCGGTTCGCACGTGCTGCCATGCGAGTCTGGGAAGCGGCTATGTGCTCATGTGCGGTCTTCATGATCGACGTTATGTGTGCAACCCAATCGTCCAGCGCGGGACAACTCGTGTCGGGGTGCAGCTGGGACGGTCGAAGGAAGTCCGAGGGAACACGAGGGTGATAGCCGAGGTCGCAATAGTAAGGCAACATCCCCGTGGCTGGCGAAACGGCGTGGTTGTAGGCTATCTCCGCGTGGGCAAGATGAAGATCCCACTGCTGGTCGTCACGAACAATCTTTCGAAGAATATTTCCGAGAGTCCTGTTCGTGATCTCGGTCTGACCATCAGTCTGAGGATGGTAAGACGAGGAGAAGCGGAGCTGAGTGCCGTATACCTCGTGGAGCTGTCGTCAGAATCGGCTGGTAAAGCGCGGGTCACGGTCAGATATGATGCTCAGAGGTAAGCCGTGGTCACGCACGACTCGGTCAAACACGATGTCGGCGACCTCACGTGCACTGATGGCATAGCGGCACGGAACAAAGCGTGCACGCTTCGTGAAGCGGTCGACGACGACCAGGATAGCATCATGACCGCGAGGGGTCGGAGGATGAAGAGGACCGATAAAGTCCATCGAGATGGACTGCCAACGACCCTTAGGGATAGGAAGAGGCAGGAGCAAACCATAAGGCAGGTGGTTCACATTGTTCACCTCCTGACAGGTGGGACACTCTGCGACGTAGTCCTTCACAAAGTCCTTGCGCTTCGGCCAGAGGTACAGGCGGCTCACACGAACCAACGTCTTGTGAAAGCCCATTTGACCGGCAGCTGCCTGGTCATGGAACTCTGCTACTGCTTGGACACGTAGCTGTCCAGTGGAGGGAACGCAAATACGGGGCTCTCTGGTGCCCTGTGAACCGTGCCAGTACACAAGACCGTTGTCCCCGAGAGAGTAGTTCGGGACGGTCTTGCCACTCCGAAGGGTCGCGTGGATGTCGCGATAGTCGGGGCAGTGGCGGTACTAAGTGCGAAACTCGTCAATCACCGAGTGGTGGACGGTGGTGACCGAGATGGAAGAGGGCTGGATGTGCTCCTGGTCGTGGTCAGGGCGCCGGGATAGGGCATCTGCGACCCGATT